ATTCTCAGTGCAATGTGGAGACTTTCCAGTGTTAAGAAAAGAGGCAGCTGGCACGTGTCTGGCAGATATCAGGAAAGGTTTCAGTGAAGAGGCTAAAGAACTGTGAGATAATAAAGGGAGGAGAGGAAAAAGGAGTTCGGGAATAAAGAAGCAGCTCCAACCCATATTTCTGAGTATTTTGCTCATAAATAATATTAACATTTGTGGTGGTGTCCCCAGGGATGATGCAAATACTTAGTTCACACACAGATGCCCCGAGCATCACCCCCTAGACCTGGGGTGGCTGCTCTTCAGGCCTTCTAGGTGAGGTTCTCTGTAACCAGGCAAACAGCTAGGCTCTCCAGCAGAGGTTTGCACAGGAGATTTCTCAGGTGAGAGAGAGTATGGTCTGAACTCCCACTTTCTCTCATGCCATAGGTAAGGTTGGATATAGTCAGGCACAATGCCATGGCTTTTTACTCCCTCACTCCTTGCTTTGATGGATGAAGCCACCATTAACTCAGTCGGACCAGTGGATCGTTTGGCCAGGGCTGCTGGGTCTTGGAAGTCTTCATATGGATCTGACCCTAGAGAAGGGTCACTTGTACCAATGGAGTCCACAATATCCAGGCTGAATTCTCTTTGACAATACATCTGGGTCCTTGTTTAGATTTGTGTCTGGGGGGACAAATAAGTGTGACTTTTGCTCCTGGCAGTGTAGTAATTCAACAACTGGAATTAAAAAAAAAAAATACCACGGGAGGTTGGTACAGAGAGACGATTAATGGCCTGGCCCTTTATTTTCCCTACTGAACAGGAAGCACAGCTGCTGTGCTTGTCACACTGTACCCAGGTTTCACCTGTCTTGCATCCCCACATACACAGTTGGTGAATTTGCCTTCTTTGTAAATTCCCACACCTGCATATAGCAGTGAAATCAACACATTTTAAGAACTTTCCATGTGCAAAATCCTCCACCTAGAGTTTTTGCACTTGACTTTCTTTTCAGTTTGGCTTTTATGGGGTCCATAACCCTGGGCTGTGGTGTTGGCTCCTCTTAAGGGCAGCAGCCAGCGCTTGGGAGAGGTGCCCTTGCCATTGTGGGTGGCCTCAGGTCCCACCTGAGAGATGCGTGTAAGAAGTAAAAACTAAAAGGCAGAAATGAAATCCACAGGCAGACAGCCCGGGGCCACACCCTGGGCCTGGTAGTTAAAGACCGACCCCTGACCTAACTGGTTCTGTTATCTATAGATTACAGACATTGTATAGGAATACACTGTGAAAATTCCTATCTTGTTTTGTTCTGATCCAATTACTGGTGCATGCATCCCCCAGTAATGTACCCTCTGCTTGCTCAATCAATCAGGACCCTCTCACATGCACCCCCTTAGAGTTGTGAGCCCTTAAAAGGGACAGGAATTGCTCACTCAGGGAGCTCCGCTCTTGAGACTGAAGTCTTGCCAATGCCCCCGGCCAAATAAACCCCTTCCTTCTTTAACTCAGTGTCTGAGGAGTTTTGTCTGCTGCTTGTCCTGCTATCTCTCTCCTTGACTCCCTCTTAGTCTGTCTCTTCCTCTCTCTCTCTCTCTCTCTCTCTGCCTCTTTTCCTCTCTGTCTCTTTCCTTTCTCTCTGCTGGTCTTTCCTTGCCTCTGCCAGCCGCTTATGCTTCTGTTCTCTCAACCACCGTGTGTTGGGGGCGGGGGATCTAAAACAAGCTGGTCTGGGTTCCCTGGCTTACAGGTTACCTTGTGCCATACCTATGAAACAAGGGACCTGTCCATGATTCCTTCTAATGGCCAACCTACCTCTAATGCTGGCCAGTCTACCTTACATAAAGTTTTAAGTTTTCCTGGTGTCATAGTACTCCGTAGTCTCCCTTAAATCCTTTTTTTGAAAATTTTCAACATAGTTCCTAATGGGGTGGGCTTACTTTGTGTCTCACCCGTTTCCTCTAGACAAAACACCACGCTCACACCACACGCACACCACAAAACAAAGGTGCTCCTCCCTTAGCACCACACAATGTGGATTCTGCTAGTGGTAAGGGAGAGAGGCTTTCAGGCAACAATCTTTGCCAGTGTCTACTTCCAAAAGTCTCTAATGCACATGTGTGCAAGTTCATGGCTGCTACCATTTACTAAGCCATGCCCCCAGTACTGGACCTTCAAGGTTTTTGTTTTTGTTTTTCCCTCCAAAATGAATAGTGATATGACATACATATCCTCATTTCTTCTCTTTTCCTCTCCCTTCCTCACTCCCTCCCTTCCGTTTTCTTTCTCTTTTTTCTCCTTCCTTCCTTCCCTTCTTCTTTCTCTCTTCCCATTCTTCCTTCCTTCCTCCCTCCCTCCCTTCATCACCATTGTCTTAATCTCAACTACCCAGTGACACTGCCAAAGGTCGCAGGGACCTCTGCCTATGAAAGCTAGGTATTGTCCAAGGTTTCTCCCCATGTGATAGTCTGAAATATGACCTCGTGGGAAGGGAAAGACCTGATCGTCCCCTAGCCTGACACCCGTGAAGGGTCTGTGCTGAAGATGACTAGTATAAGAGGAAAGAAGGCCTCTTGGCAGTTGAGATAGAGAAAAGCATCTGTCTCCTGCCTGTCCCTGGGCAATGGAACATCTCAGTGTAAAACTCGATTGTGTGTTCTGTTTACTGGGAAAGGAGAAAACGGCCTTAGGGCTGAAGGTGGGACTTGCTAGCGCAATGCTGCTCTTTATGCACTAAAAAGGTTTATGGAGATGTTTGCATATGCATAACAAGGCACAGCACTTTTCCTTAAACTTATGTCACAGAGATCTTTATTCATATATTTTACTGCTGACCTTCTCCCTAGGATGATCCTATTATCCTGCCACTTCCCTTTTTCTAAGATGGTAAAGATAATTATCAATAAATACCGAGGGAACTCAGAGACAGGTGTCAGCGTGGGTCCTCTGTATGCTGAGCGCCGGTCCCCTGGGCCCACTTTTTCTTTCTCTATACTTTGTCTGTGTGTCTCATTTCTTTTCTCAAGTCTCTCGTTCCACCTAACGAGAAACGCCCACAGGTGTGGAGGGGCAGGCCACCCCTTCACTCAAGTAGCTGGGAATATAGGCATGCACCACCACGCCCGACTAATTTTTGTATTTTTAGTAGAGATGGGGTTTCACCATGTTGGCCAGGATGGTCTTGATCTCTTGACCTTGTGATCCGCCTGCCTCAGCCTCCCAAAGTGCTGGGATTACAGGCATGTGCCACCACACCCAGCTTCAGATGATCCATCCTCCTCCCAAAGTGCTGTGGTTACAGGCCTGAGCCATGGCTCCTGGCCAAGTTGCTTTTTTTTTTTTTTTGTCTGCTTACTTAATAGTGGAAAGAGAGTCTCGTTTTATTTTCCTCTTTCTTAACTGGGCAGAGTGTACATTTTTTTCTCATGTGTGTTCAATCATTTGTGCGTTTTTTTTCTGCGATTTGAAAAATCCCACGACAAGGTGCATTTTCCATTGTGCTTTTCCTTACCAAATTTTAAACTCTGTATATTTGTGGCTAAAAATGTTCCTAATTTGGCAATTTGCCTTTAATTATCGTTTTTGACATTTTCTCATTCGCAAGATTAGTTCATTATGAAGTTTGCTCATTTTTTATATTTTTTTACTTTTCTCTCCAGCAAGTTTCTAGTTGACTCCACAAATCAGCAAGGCTCTGCTGGAAGCCTTCTAATCTTTACTACACAGAAATAACCTCGGGTTACTATTCATATTTCCCACGGGCATTTAGTGCATTTCCAAGTCGATTAAAAAAATCTTTTTTTTTTTTTTTGAGACGGAGTCTGGCTCTGTAGCCCAGGCTGGAGTGCAGTGGCCGGATCTCAGCTCACTGCAAGCTCCGCCTCCCCGGTTTAGGCCATTCTCCTGTCTCAGCCTCCCGAGTAGCTGGGACTACAAACGCCCGCCACCTCGCCCGGCTAGTTTTTTGTATTTTTTAGTAGAGGCGGGGTTTCACCGTGTTAGCCAGGATGGTCTTGATCTCCTGACCCCGTGATCCGCCTGTCTCGGCCTCCCAAAGTGCTGGGATTACAGGCTTGAGCCACCGCGCCCGGCCTAAAAAAATCTTAACAAAGACAAAAATACCTCATTAGATCCTGCGCTTGTTTGGAATACAGATTAAAAAAAAAATTTTTTTTTAAGACAGAGTCTCGCTCTGTTGCCAGGCTAGAGCGCGGTGGCACCATCTTGGCTCATGGTAACCTCCGACTCCCTGGTTCAAGCGATTCTCCTGCCTCAGCCTCCAGAGTAACTGGGATTACAGGAACGCGCCACCACGCCTGGCTAATTTGTGTATTTTTAGTAGAGAGGGGGTTTCACCATGAGCCAGGATGGTCTTGATCTCTTGACCTTGTGATCCGCTTGCCTCGGTCTCCCAAAGTGCTGGGATTAGTGGCGTGAGCCATGGCGCCTGGTCCAGATTAATTTTTTAAAATGCAAAACTTGCACAGTCTTTTTTTTTTTTTTTAACGATGCTTGCTTGTTTTCAAAATAATTAAAAAACAAAAACACAAAATTGCTCTTCCCAAAGGCTTCTTTCTTTCCTTTAAATTTATTTTTTAAAGAAAAGCTAACGGCTGGGCGCAGTGGCTCACGCCTGTAATCCCAGCACTTTGGGAGGCCAAGGCGGGCAGATTATGAGGTCAGGAGTTCGAGACCAGCCTGGCCAATATGGTGAAACCCTCCTCTTTACTAAAAATACAACAATTAGCCGGGCGTGGTGGCGGGCGCCTGTAATCCCGGCTACTTGGGAGGCTGAGGCAGGAGAATCGCTTGAACCCGGGAGGCGGCGGTTGCAGTGAGCCGAGAACGCGCCACTAGCGAGGCTCTGTCTCAAAAAAAAAAAAAAAAAAGAAAGAAAAGCTAACAAATGCTGTTTTGTCATGCATCATCACGGAATGAATGAGAGCTCCTGCCAGCCAGGAGACAGCGGACTACCAGGGTAGCTTCCCAGAGGTCCAGAAGGGAGGTCGCGCGAGAAGAGGCTCCGCGGGATGGGTCCACGCAGCGAGATCCCACGCAGGGTGGGCGTATACGAGTGTCCACGTCCGAAGGGCCCGTTCAAGGGCAGATCCCTGAAGGTTGGGTGTACGCAGGGCACGTCCACGCGGGCAGGCCCTTGCACGTAGGGAGTGCCCACGCAGGGCGGGTCCGTGTAGGATGAGAGCAGCGAAGGAGGCCCACGCAGGCCATTTCGCGCCCCGTCCTCAGCCCACGCTGGCGAGCTACCGCGGGGGAACGCGCAGCTCAGATCCTAGCAGCTTACAAGAACAGCCTTTTAAAAATGGAACCTTCAAGTAAAAATAAAACTTTTGTTTCCTTCTTCTACAGGAGTTATTGATGTAGGAAGGGACAGTCCCAGTAACATTTCAGGGTACGACTTGGGCCGGTCCGCAGGCAGGAGAGTGAAGCGCGCAGCTGCCAGGACTTACGGGGTGACGTGCGCCGCTGCTAGGACCTTGCAGGTGGAGAGCATAGTTGCCAAAACCAAGGCAGAGGAGTGCACCGCCGCTAGGATCCGGGCGGAGGAGCCCACCGCGGCCCGGACTTATTACGGATGCAGTACACTGCTGCCAGGATCTTGTCTGTGGAGGGCAGCGGGGCCGAGACCTCAGTTTGCAGCACACCGCTGCCAGGATCTCGTCGGCTGAGCGTTCCGCGGTCCGATCCCCGCCCCGCGCGCGTCGCCGGCGTTGGCGTCATCTTCCTGGTGCTGGTCTCCGTCCGGTCGCCGGTCGCCTTGGTCTCCGGCCCTCCCCAGACGCTCTCGCACCCTTGCCGACCCCGCCGTCCGCAGCCCTGGCGCTCCCTGCGGGCCCCGCCGAGGCCGCCTGCGCCCTGTGCCAGCGCGCGCCCCGGGAGCCAGTGCGCGCCGACTGCGGCCACCGCTTCTGTCGGGCGTGCGTGGTGCGCTTCTGGGCCGAGGAGGACGGGCCCTTCCCGTGCCCCGAGTGCGCCGACGACTGCTGGCAGCGCGCAGTGGAGCCTGGCCGGCCCCCGCTCAGCCGCCGCCTTCTGGCGCTCGAGGAGGCGGCCGCGGCGCCCGCGCGCGACGGCCCGGCCAGCGAGGCCGCGCTGCAGCTGCTGTGCCGCGCTGACGCCGGCCCGCTCTGCGCCGCCTGCCGCATGGCTGCAGGCCCCGAGCCACCCGAGTGGGAGCCGCGCTGGAGGAAGGCGCTGCGCGGCAAGGTGCGCGCGGCGGGGTCCCGTGCCCCGCGGACGGTGCCCTGCGCCTCTCCGCCCCTGCCCCGGTCCCCCTGAGCCCTGGGCTCTTCCCATCTCCACTGTCCCTGTCCCCGGATTGTCCCCCTCCCTTCACCGCCACGGGTCCCCGCTCCAGCGTGTGCTGGGCCCCTCCTTCTTGCAGCTTGCCTCCCCACGTTTTCTGCGTCTCTTCCGAGTCTGGTCCGTGTCCCCATCTTGGTGTCCCCTGCTGGGCGGTGCCTTATCTCCCCACCCCCTACCTTCTACGAAGTCCTTCCCCCACCAGCGTCCATCTTTGTGGTCCCCACCACTAGCTGTGCCCCGCCTCACCCTCATAGACCCCCACTAGTTCCCACAGATTGACTCCTCCACTCACTGTTCCCTTAGGGAAGACATCACACCTCTCGACCCTCTATTCCACTATGTCCACAGGCCTGGCCCGCCTTCTCCTTTGCTCTCCGGGCCACCCAGCCCTCACTTGCACCGCCTGTCCCCTCTCCCGTCTTTCAGAGACCCGCTCTGGGAGTCTGGCAGCGGCGGGTCTGGGAGTCTGTAGCCTTTCCCATGGCGGGTTGTTTGGGGGATAACAGAGTAGGAGAGAACAGCCAGCCTGGGGTCCTGCTCTTGAATACAGGGGAGGGGAAGCCAGCCAGACTGTGCCCCTGGGCGCTCCTCCTGCATTGAGGGCTCTTGCCACTAGGCAGAGTGACCCCCATCCGGCTCAGGCAGGGCAGGGTGTAGGGCAGGCTGTGCAGACCTGTGGTACAGACCGAACTCACACTGAACAGGGCCACTTACAGACACAGAACTCCTAAACCCACCTAGACAGTCCCCTTAGCCCCAGCACCCAGATCCTTCTGAATAGGTGTGAAGCCCAGGAAACCTTTTGGCTGCCTGTGTGTTCCTGCCCTAGACAACAGGGCTTCGAGGTTATCTCTGGAATGGTCAGACTATGTGCATTCAGCTGGGGTGATGTCCCTCAGAACTGGGCTAGGTTGGGGGAGACCTTCTGCCCACCCCTGGTGACCTTCCTCTCTTTCCAGGAGAACAAGGGGTCTGTGGAAATCATGAGAAAGGACTTGAATGACGCCCGGGACCTGCATGGCCAGGCGGAGTCAGCAGCCGCAGTGTGGAAGGCAAGTGGGGGGCCTGGGGGCAGCCTGGAATGAGGGGACCGGGGACTCAGGGCTCTAGACAAAGGGACCACCAGGCCAAGCAGGCCAGGCCTCTGAACTGCTCAGCTGGTTGGTTGGAGGAGGGGCCTCTGGACTTTAGTGAGTTTCAGGGTATTTTTCTAGGATGTGTTTGTATTTTTCAAATAGAATCTAGCCAAAGTCAGTGGAAGCCTCTTTTTTGCCTCACATTTTTACCTGTAGGTGATGGCAGCATCAGACTTACTCTTTTTTTTTTTTTTTTTCAAGAGACAGAGTCTCATTTGGCTGAAGTGCAATGGTCTGCTTGTAGCTCACTGCAGCTCGAACTGGCCTCAGGCGATCCTCCCACCTCAGCCTCTGGGACTATAGGCATGTGCTACCACACCTGGCTAATTTTAGAATGCTTTTGTAGAGATGGGGGTCTTGCTGTGTTGCCCAGGCTGGTCTTGAACTCCTGGCCTCAAGCGATTCTCCTGCCTCGGCCTCCCAAAGTGCTAATTTTTTTTTTCTTTTAAAACACATCTGTAACTTTCTATGGTCCTGTTGTTCTGATCTGAGAGTTGCTCATTTTTTTTTTAAAGGCTAGAAATCCAGGATCAAGGAACTGGCACATTCTCTGTCCATTGAGAACGCTTCCTGGTTCATAGATGGTGCCTTCTCACTGTGTCCTCACATGGAAGAAGTAAGGGTGTCTCTGGGGTCCTTTAAGGACAGTGATTCCATTCTTGAGAGTTCCACCCTTACAACCTCATTACCTCCCAAAGGTCCTGCCTCCTAACACCATCACCTTAGGGACGAGGATTTCAGCATGGGGATTTGGGGAGGCCACAGACATTCAGACCACAGCAGTGTTACTTTCCTTGGGTGCCTTCTACAGCATTACATCCCAAAGGGACATCCCACTAGATTCTTTGAGGTTACTCACAAGTAAAGCTCTTCAGTCGTTTAAACTCTCTTTGGTGACTTTTTCCTCATGTGTAGTAAAAAATCTGTGTGCCATTTTCTCTGGGTTTCATAAATTCCTACCTCCTCCTTTTAACCTGAAAGACAGAGTGATTTTCAAAGGTGCAGCAGCTCTTGGGTAATTGGCTGCACCTTGAGGCTGAGGCCCGCATTTTTACCCCAGCTTGAGGCTGACGTAGACTCTCTGTGTTCCCGGTGGTGCTGAGCCCTTGCCTACTCTCCATAGGCCTGAGGTGGAGGCCTCACTCAGACAGTGACAGGTGACACACAGAGTCCCTGATGCCAGTCGGACCCCTGGCACTCCACACTGCCCTTGGGGGCTGCTCTGAACTTCTCCTTGCCTTGTGAGTGGTCAACACTGCCCAGTGCAAGTGAGGCTGGAAGGCTTTGGGTACCTCCAAGTTTTCAATAACCGTGTGTTACCCCCAAGGGACTTGTTTTGCCCACAGGTTTTAGGTTGGAGTTTTCAATCTGTCCTGTTTTGGGGGTTGGTGGCTTAGATGCTGGGATGAGAGAAGCCACCTAAATTCAAAGGAAGGAGTTTGCAGTGTGCTGCATCAGCCAACCAGCAGACACCCAGCTGTCATTTGCATTCTCTCTCAGCAACAAAAGCCTTGGCTTCTCATGACTATGGCTGTCACCTGCCCTGTGTGGCCCAGGTGGAAGCCATCCATGACTCTGAGTAAAATCACAGTAGCATCCTCCTCTGCTCTCCTGTTTCCAAGGTTAGGGGTTGGCTGGAAACCAGATGAAGAGTGGCAAGTGTGAATGCTGTTTGTTGAAGGCTGATGGGATGGTTTTCAGCTGTTGGAGTTCTGGTGTGGGCACAGCAGGGACAGTTTCTGGCAAGATGGGTGTGTGTCCTGCCCTGACAGTAACGTGCCTGACAGGCTCTAGACCTAGCAGGGCCACTCAAGGATTTACTGTCCCCTTGGCCATGGGAGACGGGAGAGGAACTGTCTTCATGTGCAGCTGACCACTGCAGTGTCAGGGAGAAAGAACTCTACTTCTCCCCTTTTAGGGTCCCAGGCTGGGCCAGAGAATTAAACTGATATAAGCTAAACTAACAGGGCCAGGTGCAGTGGTTCATGCCTGTAATCCCAGCAACTTGGCAGGCTGAGGTAGGAGGATTGCTTGAGGGTAGGAGTTCAAGACCAGCCTGGGTAACATAGTGAGACCCCCATCTGTACAAAAATTAAGAAATTAGCCAGGTGTGGTGGTGCATCTGTGGTCCCAGCTACTTGGGAGGCTGAGGTGGGAGGATACTTAAGCCCAAGAGGTTGAGGCTGCAGTAAGCTATGATGGCACCACTGCACTCCAGCCTGGGTGACAGAGTGAGACCCTATCTCAAAAAAAAGGAAGATAGATTAATGGGAGAAAAAACATCAGTTTTTTTTTTTTTGAGATGGAGTCTTGCTCTTGTTGCCCAGGCTGGAGTGCTGTGGTGCCATCTTGCCTCACTGCATCCTCTGCCTCCTTGGTTCAAGTGGTTCTCCTGCCTCAGCCTCCTGAGTAACTGCGACTACAGGCATGTGCCACCACGCCTGGCTAATCTTGTATTTTTAGTGGAGATGGGGTTTCACCATGTTGGCCAGGCTGATCTTGAGCTCCTGACCTCAAGTGATCCACCCACCTCGGCCTCCCAAAGTGCTGGGATTACAAGTGTGAACCACCGCACTCGTGCCTGAGCAGCATGTTTTAGAGTGGCATGTTCTTAACTCCTTCAAGAGGGAACAGGTTCCCCTTCGCCTGGGGAGGGTGGGCGAGGACACAGGTCTTTTCCTGCCACCTGTCTGCAGGGACACGTGATGGACCGTAGGAAGAAGGCACTGACCGACTACAAGAAGCTGCGGGCCTTTTTTGTGGAGGAGGAGGAGCACTTCCTGCAGGAGGCTGAGAAGGAGGAGGGGCTACCTGAGGACGAGCTGGCTGACCCCACTGAGCGGTTCAGGTCACTGCTGCAGGCGGTGTCGGAGCTGGAGAAGAAGCACCGGAACCTGGGCCTCAGCATGCTGCTGCAGGTGTGGGATCCCCGCTGGGTCTGTCCACCATCAGGCCGGGGTGGACGTAGGCAGCAGCGAGCCACTGGGGGGCCATTGCCCGAGGTCAAGGCTTAAAAGCCCAGCCTGACTCCCACTGCCGTGGCCTTGCAGGGCTGATTTTGGGAATGGGTGGGTGGTCAAGGAAGGTGATAGGAAGGGTTTTTAAGTTGAAAAGGGTCCGAGGTGTCCCTGACCTTCACAAGGGAGGACACTTGGTATCCCAAGTGCCTGAGGCTTCTGCCTCGCCCTAGGGTTCTGAGGGCAGAAGCAGGCAAGAAACTCAGCCTCAGGGCTTTTCTTCTGCCTCTGCCCAGGGCCTGGCCCGAACCCCAGAGCCCGCAGCAACCCAGATGGCCCTGAATGGTTCAATTGCCTGTGCCAGCCATAGGTGACAAGGCTTTGGCCTTGGGGAGACAGAAGTCTGGGCTAGGCCCTTGGTTGGTTGTGCTCAGGACAGTACCTCATGCACTGTCTCATGTGTACTCTCTCTTGCTCTCTCTCACTCTCTCCTTTTGTCTTTGTCTCTGCCTCTGTGTGTCTCTTTCTCTGTTGTTTTGTGTCTCTGTCTTTCCTTCTACCTTCCCATGCAGTGATGGCACCAACCGGCGGCAGTCCCAGAGTTGGAGGCAGGAGGGGATGGATCCTTATCTCCTTGGGAAGTGTCAGCGTGTGGCTGTCAGGGAAGCGTGGAAGGCGCCCGGCCTTGGGTCCGTCTATATAGTTGTGTGTTTCAAGAATGTCCCTTTATCCTTCACCCTGAGGCGTGAGTGTTTTGGGGGCTACAAACACCTCCCGGTAGAGGCTGGACCTGAGGACCCTTCCGACCTGTGCCCTACCCTTCCTGAAGTCCTGGCCACAGCCCATCTTCCATGAGTCCCGGCAGCTCTGGGCCATGCCCTTCCTCTGTCACCTATCTGCCCCTCACCTTGTCATCCACGGACCCAGACCCTGCATCTTCCATGCGGGCCCACAGATCCTTGGCAGGTACCTGAGGTGCACCATTGAGTGTCGAATTTGGGGTTAACATCTAGAAAGAAGAACGCACATGAGGCTCTGTGAAGGCTGGAACTCAGGTCTTCAGGGAAGAGAAAGGAAGACTGGATTGCACCTCGATGCCTCCTGAGGAGGCAGCCCTCCTCTTGAGGTGGGCTTGGGCCCCGCCCAGCCTTATCCGCGTCGCTCTGTCCACCTCCCCCTTCCTGGCCCCCACCCTGCCTCTGTGTCTCCTAGAAGCCCTCCCTGTGCTCCACCTGCCTCCGTAGAAGGAACTCTCTTTCTCCTTTTTCCTGGGCAAGGGGGCTGGCAGGTGGCTAACCCCATTTAGCATCTCCAGGCCCTGCCATGGTGTCTCATCTTGCTGTTCTCTCTGGCTCTTTCTCTCTTCCCATTTCCTTTAGTAGTTGAATTTTGCAAAGCTCGTAGCAGTAGCTCAGTTGCTTGCAGCATCCTTGTGTGTAGATAAATTCGTCTAGTCGACAGAAACTCAGCACTGGGGACAGGATTGCAAAGTCTGGGACATAGATGCAGGCAGATGTTGAGATTTGGGTATAGCTGGGCTTGTGAGCAGTGCCTGTTTCCAGATGAAGCCTTTCAGCCTTTCCGAGTCCCTGGCCTTTGGTGTGATGTCTGTGAGTTTGACCTACCCAGCGTGTGGGCTGGTTCAATGTTGAATAAAGTGAGTTTGTGTCAGCTCGTTTGCTTCGTCTCCGTGTGTCCACTTGGCCTCTTCCCCCTGCTCTGGCCACCCTCCAGTGTCAAAGGAAAATTCCTCTTGACACTTGCTAAAGCATGGTGAGGAGAACTTTCATTGGGACCATGGAGATGGTGTGGAGCCCTTTCCTTGGGGCCTCAGGGGAGATGGGGCTCCACCCTGACACAGTAGGGCAGGGGTTGGAGAAGCCGAGGAGCAGTGTGGGGTCCATGGGTGGGAATGACTGTGAGGAGACATCAGGGCTGAGGGGGGTCTGGCTAAACCCACCTCACAGAGTCCTTGCTGTAGGCAGGCAGGTTGATCAGACATTGGTTGCAAACGGTCTGATAGGAACCCAGTTAGGTACCACTGAGGGTGGTCAGATATGGTTAAACCAAATTAGGGTTCTTGCTAAAACTGGATTTCATAAGAAAGGGCACAGAGGACCCTAGGAGAAGATTCCAGAGCCTGGCCAAGTAGATAATTGTCAGCACAGCAACAACATCCTGATCCTGAGACCTCCAGTTTGTCTTTCTCACTGTCTCTACCTGCTGCAGTCTGCTGTCGTCCCCAAGCGTCCCTGCCCCTGTGCTGCACACCTGTGATGCATGCCTGGCCAGGTCCTGATGGGACAGAGTCTCCCGCAACATCAAAGTGTGTCCACATCACCAGGTCCAACAGTGGCTTCACCATCCTCACCTAATCTAGCTAACCAGCAACATCCCACCCTGTCAATCACAACCTGTTTCTATTTGAAAAAATTATATTCTTATGGGGCACAGTGTGATGTTTTGAAACCTCATCTCCTCCCCCTGCTCCAACAGTGCATTCTCAACCCTGCAGGTAGATGGGTTTCTACCTTAAAATATGTAGGATGAACCAGTCTGGTGATCTGATGTACAACAGGAGGACTGTAGGTAATAAAATTGCACTGTTTTGGGAGTTCCTGCTAAATGGCTGTACTTCAGCTACTCTTGCCACAAAATTCTAAAAATGGTTGACTCTGGGAGGTGATGGGAAAGTTAATTGCTCCCCTGTAGTAGTAACCATTTTGCTATCTGTTTGTACTTTGTAACATCACGTTGCATACCTTAAATATACACAATAAAATTTATTAAAACAATAAAACTAAGCAAGAGCCTGCCTCCGGTGTACTCAAGGCCCTGCAGCAACTCAGATTCCTTCAGGGAAAGCTTACCAGTGGCCTGGGGGGCGCTACATAATCCACCCCCAGCTGTTCCTCTCTCTCTGGTCACCACTGTGCCCCCTGCTCGCAGCAGACCCAGCACGATGGCCTCTCTTCAGCAGGCCAGGTGGGCCCTGCCTCGGCCTCTGATCTCCAGGGAATGTTTCTCCCCGATATCTGCATGGCGGTTCCCCCAATCCTTCAGGTCTGCTCCCAAAGGGTGTTTTGTAGAAATGGCTTGAAACAGACACCCTTACTCAACCCTTGACCATGCAAGCTCTGAGGAGCCACTTGTGTCCCTGTGGCTTTGCCGCAGCCAGATCTCTCTGGTCAAGAGGATGTGGGGAGTGGGTGACATGTGGAAGGAAACTGAGGCCAGGCACTGCATAGAGAAGCAACAGTTTGCTGGAAGGTAGGGGACACATTCTCAAGACATTGATGTATTTGTCCAGTACTTCAATACTTTTTTCTCAACTCTTATTTTCAGAGCTTTGTGGGAAAGCTGTGGATAGTTGGGACCCAAAGGTCGTTTTCAGTTTCAGGATCCTGTGGCCAAAGAGAGGAGATAAAAATGTTTGGGGCCATTTTACCATCTACATTACCGAATTGAGTAGCTATTATTTCATGAGGTTGACAACAGCAAAATATAAGGAGATGCTTAAACTCTTTAGTAACTGGAGAATCATAATTAAAACCATAATGAGATACTGCTTTAACTCGAGGCAAGTGGGGTGGTGGTGGTTCGGGCGGGTGATGGGAACTGCAGCACTAGGTGATGTTGAAGTCTGAGTGACAGTAGCACATTAGGTGAGCTTAGAGGTGCTATGAGGAGTGTAGAATGAGGCCGCTGCTTTGGAGTGCAGTCTGGGGTCAAACTAAAAGGCATACCTTGGAGAAACTGTGGGTTTGCTTCTAGGCCACTGCAATACAGCAAATACTGCAATAAAGCAAGTCCCATGAAATGTTTGGTTTCCAAGTGCATATAAAATGCTTTTATAGGCTGTACTGTAGTCCACTAAGTGTGTAGTAGCATTATGTCTAAAAAAGCCAATGTATGTACCTTAATTTTAAAATACTTTGTTTTCAAAAAATGCTAATAATCATCTGAGTGTTCAGTGAGTTGCCATATTTTTGCTGGGGGAGAGTCTTGCCTCAATGTTGGTGGCTACTGACTAGGGTGGTGGCTGCTGGAGTTTGGGGTTGCTGTGGCAATTTCTTAAGACAATGAAGTTTGTCACATCAATTGACTCTTCCATTGAAAAGACTTCTCGTAGCATGTGATGCTGTTTGATAGCATTTTACCCACATAACATCTTTAAAAATTAGTCACTCTTGTCAAACCCTGCCACTGCTTTATCAACTAAGTTGATGTCAATTCTAAATCCTTTGTTGTCATTTCAACCATGTGCACAGCATCTTCACCAGAAGTATATTCCATCTCAAGAAACCACTTTCTGTGTTCATCCATAAGAAGCAACTCATCATCCATTCACATTTTCTCATGAGACTGCAGCAATTCAGTCCCATCTCCAGGCTCCACTTCCAATTCTCGTTCTCTTGCTGTTTCTACCACATCTGCAGTGACTTCCTCCCCTGAAGTCTGGGATTCCCTCAGAGTCATCCATGAGGGCTGAAATCAACATCTTCCAAACTCCTGTTCGTGTTGCTGTTTTGACCTCATTCCATGTATCATGAATGTTCTTAAGGCATCCAGAATGGTGAATCCTTTCCAGCAGGTTTTTAAAAATTTTTTTCCCAGATCCATCAGAGGAATCACTGTTCAAGGCAGCTGCAGCCTTATGAAATGTCTTAAATAATAAAATTTGAAAGTTAATTATGGAAGTTAACTTGAAAGTTAATAAGACTTGAATGTTGTGTTAATGGGTATTTTAATATTTTAATGGACTTAAAATAGTAAACCATCCTGTAAACAGATGTGCTGTCATGTAGGCTTTGTTGTTTCATTTATACAGTACAAGTAGAGTAGATTGAGCACAATTTCTAAGGGCCTTAGAATTGTTGTAATTGGTGAATGAGCATCGGCTTTAATTTGAAGTCACTAGCTGCGTGAGCCCCTAACAAGAGAGTCACCCTGTCCTTTAAAACTTTGAAGCCAGACATTGACTTCTCTGTAGCTATGAGAGTTCTGGATGGCATCTGCTTCTAATAGAAGACTGTTTTGTGTGCATTGAAAATCCGTTGCTAGTGTGGCCCCCTTCATCAGTGATCTTAGCTGAATCTGCTGGAGAACTTGCTGCAGCGCCTCCATCAGCTCTTGCTGTTTCACCTTTCACTTTTATGTTACGGTGATGGCTTCTTTCCTTAAACCTCATGAACTCTGCCAGCTTCAAGCTTTTCTTCTGTAGCTTCCTCACCTCTCTCAACCTTCATAGAATTGAAGAGAGGATCTTGCCCTGGATTAGGCTTTGGATTAAGGGAATGTTGTGGCTGGTTTGATTTTCTGTTCAGACCATGCACACTTTCTGCATATCTGCAATAAGAGCATTTTGGTTTTTTATCATTTGTGTGTTCACTGGAGTACTTTTAATTTCCTTCAAGAACTTCTCCTTTGCATTCACAGCTTGGCTGACTGGCACAAGCAGCCTCTTTCTACTTCAGATGTGCCTTCCTCACTAAGATTAATCATCTCTAGCTTTTGCTTTAAAATGAGAGATGTGTGACTCTTCCTTTCACTTCAACACTTAGGGGCCATTATAGGGTCATTAATTGGCCTAATTTCAGTATTGTTGTGTGTCAGGGAATAGGGAGGCCTGGGGAGAGAGAGAGAGAAAGGGGAATGGCTGGTCTGGTGAGCAGTGAGGATGTACATGCCAGTTTTTCTATTAAGTTCGCTGCCTTGTATGGACACATTTCTTGGCATCCCTAAAGAATTTCAAAGATAACATGAAAGATCCTTGATCACAGATCACCAGAACAAAACTAACAATGACAAAAAAGCTTGAAATATTGCAGGAGTTACCAAAATGTGACACAGACACCAAGTGAGCACATGCTGCTGCGAAAATGCCACAGGTCACCTTGCTCAACACATGCTTACCACCTACCTTCAATTTTTAAATGCAGTATGCAAAGTGCATGAGGCATAGGCTGTATATGAAAGGGAGTTAGACCAATCGGACAGCAGGGGGAGCCAGTCCCCAACACGTTGCTTGTTTCTGACACCAGCTGCATGTCTGTGGGGTGAGTTGTTCCCCAAACCACCTCCGGTTCTATAACTCACTAGAAAAGCCCCCGGAGCCCACTGAAAGCTGCTACACTTTCTGTTACAGTTTATTATGGGGAATGGAGACAACTTTAAGTCAACCAAGGGAGGAAACCCATGGGGGAGTCCGGGAGAGATAACAGAGCTTCCACTGTCCTGTGCCCGTGGAGTCTGGGCTGTGCTACCTTCCAGGCACCCTATGTGACTGTGCACGGGAAGTTCTGCCAACCAGGGATACTGCCCAACCTTAGTATCCTGTCTCTTCTGGCATCCAGCACCTAGGGATGGCTGACTTCCCACATGGCCAGTCTTAGCCTCCAGCCTCAGAGGAAGTCAAACTGCAGGACCCAAAGGCCCCTACCCCATATAACATTGCTGCCGCTGGGCTTGGCTCAGGGACTCCCACCCCCATGTCACAGTGTTCTCTTCAGTGTGGTCAACCTACCCTAAACCATATTATGGGACTGTCCAGTGTGACCCAAGGCCACCAGGCAAACAAAGACCCTCCTATCAGGCATCACATCCGAAGGGCTTTGAGGTCACTTCCCAGCAGCAGACTGCAAGGGCAGGGGGTCTTGTTGGGAACAGCTCAGTTGTGGACTATGCAATTTGCATGCCCACGCTATGGTCTGAAGGTGTCCCACCCTCCACATTAGTATGTTGAAATCCTCACCTCCAAGATGATGGTGTTATGAGGTGGAGCGTTTGGGAGGTGATGAGTTCATGAATGGGATTACTGCCCTTATAAAAGGGACCCCAGAGAGCTCCCTCATCTCTTCCACTACGTGAGGACTTGGTGAGAAGGCGCTGTCTGTGAACCAGGAATCGACTTCACCAGCCACTGAATATGCTGGTGCCTTGATCTTGGACTTCTGGCCTCCAGAGCTGTGAGCAGCACACTTCGGTGGTTTCTAAGCTGCCCAGGCTGTCCACATGGACTGCGATACTCTGTATTGCATCAGTTCCACTCCTGGGCTGTTATGCCAAAGAGATGCCAACAGGGTTCCATGAGGGCACAGGCATGGAATAGTTACAGAGTCATTGGTTGCTGTGGTAACAGGTCCTCACTGCTGAGGATGTGGAAAGGTGAATATGGTGGAGGCCTCCATGGGAACTGAACTGAGTAAAACTTGTTCTGCTACAAGGGCCTGCACATGGGGTGCCCTTGACAAGAGGTGTGCATATGAGATTTGCACGTGGGGGTGCCCTAGGTTGTGTGTGTTTGTGCATGGATGAGAGAACTCCAGGAAGAGCCCATTTTGCTAAAGACTTCCTAAATGCAAATGCAACTTCTTCCAAGATGCAACATGCAGAAGATGGCAGGCAGGCCGGCAGGCTATTGCCATTCCTGAAAACTGGGCTTATCTTTTTGGAATCCTGTGGATAGACTGCCCACCCAATCGCTGTTGGTGGTAGGATGCCCCCAAGCCTCGTTCTGCTGCGGGAGAGTGGGCTCACTGAACACAGAGCTATCTACAGCTGCAGAGGCTGGCTGGCAATCACAGGGCTGTGGATACTACACCCACCGATGGGCTGAAGGACTTTGCATCTCAGGAGCCTCATTGGCCGTGCCAGAGAACGGTTTGTCCAAACCAAAGAGATCTGAAAAGTCACCTCATTTGCATACAGCTCCAGCAGAGCAGCTCCCAGCAGTGTTCTCCGTGTCCTTGGCCTGGCCACCCTTAGGGACTGAGGATGTACTGTGGTGGGTCACTCTAG